TTCACTTCCAGAGACAGTTGTAAGCACTGTGTAACTGCCTCGAGGGTGCTTGACCATTTTAACACAACGTGGTGCGATCATCCCCGTTGCGCGGAGCGAGGGTTCTCCACCCCGCACAACATGATCTACTCGACCACCATTATGGTTACCGCCAAAAAAAAAAACGGAGGTAAAAAAAAAAAACGGTAACCTGGTTGCCGAGTTCACGAAGTGAATTGGCTTGTTTTACAACGTCGTTGCCAAGCGACGAAAACCCAACCCCGATGGCAAAACACCGGGAGGGGCGGCTTGTTTTACAACGTCGTTGCCAAGCGACGAAAACGCAACCCCGATGGTAAACACCGGGGGGGGTGAGGGGGGGTAACATGGGGTGATGTTCCCTCTTTCCGGAAGGATGGTGGAAGCCTTGAGACCGAGGACGTACATGTTTGTTATGGTGGATACTGTCACACGGAAGCGACAAGGAGTCGCGAGTGCCACATTATTCTCGAGCCGTTTTTTCGCGCACGGGATCATACACGTGACGAAGCGAACCTACCTCAGTGGCCGTTTCATCCGCTCATCACGATTTTCCACCACACCCGCGGGGTAGCCGCCGGCGCCGCCGCCGTCACGTAGCGGTAGCTTCAAGCGTAGACTCTGCGAGGGCAATTGCTGCCGCCGACAGAATACTTTCGTTTTTGTTTTGCCACAGGCGGAACAAGGGGGGCTTACCTGGTTCGGCGCGTGTAGCGAGAGCGCGAGCTGAGTCTCAGGGGCGTCGATGGTGAGCTGCTTCATGCGCGGCACCACTCCTACCGTGGACAGCGTGATGTGCCTCGGCGAGAGCTTGAACATCCTGCTGTCCGCCATGCCTCGGATGGAAGCCAGCACCGCATCGTAGTTGTTGAGAGGCTCTCCCATGCCTTTCCCCAGAGTCAACAACACACAAGGAAACGAGAACAAGGTGATGATCGCGCAGCGTGAAAAGGACTGCTGTCTGACTTGTCCATCTAGCTATTGTTGGCGCGATGGAAGACCCGAGGCTTGTGTTGCCTGCGTCCCAATCTAGCTTGTTTCATGTTCCCATACCAAGGCAATAAATGACACCACGAAGGTTTTCGGGGGCACAAAGCTTTGCGCGCATGACGGCAGTAGGTTGGATGGGCTTGATTGAATCTCTCAACAGCAGCACGCTGCAAGCGCGCTGGGCACCGCCAAACCACCCGGGACACAACAGCCGCACTGAGACTGCCGTCGCCTCAATGGTCAGTTACCTAGCGCGGCCGATGCAAATAACAAAAGACACACACAGAATTTGCTTGGATCCAAGCGTATCATGTAGTCTTACGTCTTGCGCTGCTCCGATTCGACCCCCGTCCACGCGAGCCGTTCACCCCAGGCGTGCTAAATCACGCAACGTGGAACCCTCAAGTGAAATTTAAACGATGCAGAAAAACAAAAACTCACCCATGAATACGACGTTCCGGATGGGAGACACCCTGGACGCGTGCAAGACCTGCTCCAAGATTTCTCCGGCCGTGAGGTCGCCCTTGAGGCCCATCGTCCCCGTGGCGCAGAAGGTGCACGCCATCTGGCACCCCACCTTTTTCGCGTCGTTGGGTAAGTGACGGTTTCGGAAGAGAAGGAAATCGAAACTGGGTAAGCGGCCACCGATCGTTCAGTCCACCGACACCGACAAGAATGTACTCAAGGCGCTGGAACAGAAAAACACCATGTTGTCTTCCTACGACAGAAACCGGGTCGACTATGTACACAACCAGGTTGACGCCGCCGCCGCAGCAGCAGCAGCAGCAGCAGCAGCAAAAGCAGCAGCAGCATGAATGTGGACGTGTGATGCGCGAAATATTTTCTAACCTGGCCCACAGCAGGACCCTAAACAACACAAGCACAAAGAACAACGCCGGCATGTGCGGGAGGGAGGCTAGCTGTCGCACTGCCGACCTGCTCAGAAACAACGAATATCGTGCGTGGAAACAAAAGCCACCTTTCGAGGCTCTAACCCCTAGCTATCAATCGAGACGTTGCACGCTACTAAATATCACTGAAAGGCGCACAAGGGTGCGGACAAAAAAATCGCTTGGGTAGTGGTAAAACGACGTGGACGCCAAGCACTTCCAAGAGTATCACGCCGCAATCATAATCATCATTGACAGTGCATGTGGCGTGGTCACTTAAAAATCTTTGCACACGTCCCGTGTCTTGTTAGGTCTCGCCTCTCTTCACACTTCACCTGCGAGGACACGCATAAAGTCGTGCGAGGGTGAGTCCCGTTGTGCTTGATGATCACCGTCTCCACCATCTGCCCGTCTTGAAGCCGCACCTGTGAGAGAACGAAGGGGCGGGGGGGGGGGGGGGGGGGGGGGGGG